ATCAAAATGCAATAAAAATAAAAATTTAAAATTGTACAGTTAATTATCTGTAATATTTTGACTTTCTACTTACTTATAACTGAGAGAGATGTTTAAAAATCTTTTCTCACATATTTTCCCTCAGGTTTTTTGTAACTTTTTGGTTAATATATTTTGAAGCCATGCTATTAGTACACATAAATACAGTAAGTCCCCAACTTACAAATGCATTTCATTCCAGGAGAATGTTTGTAAGTTGGATTCATTTGTAAGTCCGACAAAGTAAGTCTTATACTCCTTTGACATAAATATACAATGTAAAACATAAAAAACCAAACACACACACACACACACATAAATATAGTACTATACTGTACACAATATGGCATTATATAGTAAGTACACAACTATGACAATGTCTGGCAGACACACGAGCTACTTCTATGATTTTTTTTACATCTACAAAAGTTCCTTATATGAGATATATTCATACCTGCTGAAGTTTTCAACTCAAATGTTCATAAGTTGGGTATTTATTGTATAAATTGTTAATTTTCTGGTGAATTAAGCATCTTATTATGAAATGCTAGCAATGTTTATGTTTCAGGTATATAAATATTTTTTAAATATCCAAACTAACAATATTCTCTTTTAACTCAAACATTTATTTCATTTTTAAGTAATCCTATTACCATTATGATTTGAATTAAATCTAACATTTTATTTTGTGCTTTCTCTTTGTACATTTTCTTTTCTTATATGTCTTCTTCTGAACTGACTTAAAAATTATTCCATGAACCAGGGATTTAGCTCAGTGGTGCCATCCCTACCTGGCAAGTGCAAGGTCCTGAGTTCAATTCCTGGTACCAAAAAAATATTATTTCACTTTTCCTTCATTAGTTTGGAAATTATACATCTGTTTTTATTATTTTAATGGTTGTTTTACATTTTAACATGCATCTTTAACCCAGGAAAGTTTGATAGAGCTAAGTTTGATACCTACCAGACAATAGAAGCCTCTTAGTATAATTCCTCTATTTTCCTTCTGGAGTGATATTCAATTATATGTTTTAAAAATAAAACTAACATGAATTTAAAAGGTATAAATATTATAAACTATATTCAGTTAATGTTCAGTAAGAATACCCACTCATTTATCACTTTCTTTGCTATTAATTCTTTCTTGCTTCTGAAAACTTCCTTCTACCCATATCATAGTCTTTAGATCCTGTTTTATTGCAAGTCAGCTGTTGGCAAGCTGTCATAGTTTTTACTCTTCTGTAATTTTTCTTTCATTATTGAAGCATATTTTTGTTGGCGTAGTATTCTAGATAGCAGTTTGTCTTCCTGACAGAGAGTGGAAATTGTCCTTTGGATGGGTAGATGCTGGTACTTCAACCCCAGTTTAGCTTAAAGATGCATACAAAAACAACTGCTGCCTGCTTCAACCTGGAGAGGGAAAGGGTTGGAGAGATTCCCCAATTTCTGGCTAGGCTGATTACTGAAGTTTCCTGTGAAGATAGAGAGGTGGCTGTTTTGCCTAATGCACAGACACTAACACCAGAGGGTAATAGAAAATGAAGAATGAGACAAAGATATTCTAAACAGGGGAACAAGATAAATCTTCAGGAACTCACCCTAATGAAATGGAATTATATAATTTACCTGTCAGGAAATTCAAAATGTATGTCATAAAGATGATCACTGAAGTGAACGATGCATGAACAATGTAAGCATTTCAGCAAAGAGGGTTCAACAGCATACATTTAAGCAAAGGAAAGGATCAGCAATCTTGAAGACACATCATTGGAAAGAATTCAGTCAGAGAAGCTAAAAGAAAAAAAAGGACAAACAGAGTGAAGAAATCTTAAGGTACAAGAATATCATAAAGTAGAACAATATATTCATTATGGAAGTCAGAGGAGTAGAAAATAGAGACATGATCAAAAAGCTTATTCAGAGTAACAAGCTAGAAGTTTTCCACATCTGGGAAAGAAAATATATATCCAAATCCAAAAAGTACAAAGAACATCAAATAAAATGAACCCAACAAGACACACACAAAGAAACACTATAATCAAAGTGTCAAAAGTCATAGAGAAGGGAACTTTAAAACAAGTATAAAGCTAGTTATCATATACAAGGGAACCTCTGTAACACTATCAGCAGATTTTTCACTGAAATCTTGCAGACAAGAAAGGAGTAGAATGAGATAGTCAAAGTATTAAGACCAAACAAACAAAACCTCTTAACCAAGAATACTATATCCATCGAAAACTGTCCTTCAGAAATAATGAAGACGTAAAGGCTTTCCCAGGCAAACAACCAGTACCACAACAAAATAACCCAGAGTTATCATCACTACATCTGGCTTATAAGATATGCTAAATATAACTCTTAAAGTTGAAATTTAAGAATGCTAAAAAACAAAAGATGTATTCAAAACATTCCACCCACAGAACAGAATATGTATTCTCCTCAAGTGCATTCAGAACTTTCCCTGCATGTCAGTGTTCTTACCACAATAAAATAAAATTTTTAAAAATGAAAGAAAATCTTCAAATTAAAACAAAACTCTGTTCTTTTAAGGCTTTTTCCATTCAGCTACATCACCTTCTGTCTACATTACTGTCATCTTCTGACTACCTGGTGGAGAATCAGTGTTCCTTTATTAAAAGTTTTAGATTATAGTTATCTTTCTTTTTGTTCAAAGTACAAGCAGTTATTCAGAATGACATTAACACTACAATGGATAATTAATCAAACAGCAGCAAACTGAACTTTTGAACTCTAATCTCCCATAATCTTTATAGTTCAGCCACACACTTTCACAGCCAGTCATTGGACACTATTATTGTTGTATTTTAATTTGCAAGGTACCATAAAAAATACCACAGTTTAAGTAGCTTAAACTACAGACATGTATTTTATCAAAAATTTAGAAGGTAGTCCAAGGTTAAGGTGGTGGCAGGTGTGAGTTCTTATAAGGCCTCTCTGCTTGGCTTAGAGACAGCTGTTTTTCTCTGTGTCTTCACATGGTAATCCTATGTTTGTTTTGCTTGTATCCTCATCTCCTCTTCACAAGCATAGTATTTACAATAAATTAAGGGCTCATTCTTACAACTTTTTAAAAACTTAATTACTTCTTTAAAGGTCTTATCTCCAAATTTAGTCTCATTCTAAGGCACTAGACTCTAGGACTTCAATAAATGAATGTGTGTGGGATACAGGCCCCAAGGCCTGTATAAGAGTTAACTATTTAAATAATCCATTCTCTGATGACAATCTTTCTTCCTTGTTATTTGGCTACTCTTGCTCCAGTACGTCTCTGTCTCTGATGACACAGAGACCTCTGTTTTATTTCCAGTTTGCTTCCTGATACCCATTAGTTCACTCTTTATTTACTTTCATATGTAGTTTAAATTTTATAACTCTTCATTTCCATAAGCTTAGGAATTGAATGTTCATGTTCCTGTCAAATTTATTTGTTGAAGCCTAAATCCCCAAAATGACAGTCTTTGGAGGTGGCACCTTTGGGAAATTATTAGGCCATGAGGGTGGAGAATGAATAGGATTGGCAGTCTTATAAAGGGAAGGAGAGAACAATGTTTTTGTATGTGAGAATACAAAAGACTGACATCTGCAACCCATGAAGCATGCCCTGACCAGACACTGGTGCCTTACCTGGACTCCCCAACCTTCAAAATGTGAGAAAAATAAATATCTGTTGTTTAAACTACCCAGCATATGGCATTCTCTTATAGCACCCTGAACTGTCTAAGACAAATAAGGATCAATAGCATTCTTCCAGTCCCCTGATCTTCCCTATTTCTGTATCTTTTCTGCATACCTATTTGGAGATGTATCCCCAAATATCCCCAACTAATTTGCATTTGCCTGCAGGGATCAACTAAGGGCTGCTGGACAGGGTCATATGTCAAGGAATATTTGCTCCTCTGTAACATACTGATTCATTTTCAGATTGCTTCCACACAATCCATGGATGGCTCAGCAATCCTATGACATTGCTTTTACCTCATTCACATGTGCTGACCATTTAAAAACTTCTCTCCTCGCAGCTTCAGTAACTCCTACTCTCTCTTGGCATTACTTCACAGAAAAGCCAGAGGCCCTCAGAAAGAAGGTTCTTCACCTTCCCACTACCAGACAGAAATTTCGTTTTCCTCTGCACCTACCTCCTCTTCTTTCTTCTTTTACAACAGAGGACTTTTCCCTTTCCTGCTGGTTGGCAGTTCTATTTCTAGTCATTTGAGTTCTACTCCCTCCCTCTTTTTTTTCAGTATTTCTCTTTAGTTCTCTTTTCTGCCATATAAACTTAACCTCACCTCTTTGCTGGATAATTCTCATCAGTATTTAAGTATATTCTAGCCTTTCCCATTTACAAAAACTAAATTCCTTCATCTTATGTTCTCTTCCAACTACTTCATTCTCTTCTCAGCCAACTCTAAAAGTATTGACTATTCCCATAGACTAACTCCACTTCCTTACTTATCCCTTCCTCTTTTACTTGCTCTTCCCTGGCTTAATTAATAATTTTATCAATAATGATGTCATTAGGAATAACTAGATTTATTAGCAATACCTACAATGAAGAATTAAGTATCTTTTTAGAATGGCTATAATACATATCATTTATGATAATTTTTGAATTATGTTTGTATAAATTTGTCTAAATATAATTTTATGTTTAATCTTTCCTTTTTAGCCTGAAAGTACTTTACTGATTATCTGTGAAAATGGCTATATTCTTCAAGCTCCATATCCACCCATTAATGAAGAAGAGGACAATCATGATGTACTCTCCTATGAAATCAGTGACATGCCCATAAGATATTTCCATTTCTCAAGTGTCAAATCTAAGATTGTGGTATGAGTTAATCTTGAAAAATTATCTTCTAATATTTTTCCTTCCATTAGAATATAAAATATCCTGTATATCCGGAGGGAAGGCAGAGTTGTGAGAGTTTTCAGTTTTTCCCCGAGATGAAGAATGGACTGATAAAATAGAGAGAAGGGATCTGTGGAGGGATGTGGCAGGAGTCTGTGACCAGAGGATGGTGGCTCCTCAAAAGCCAGCTAACATGTTTCAGTTTAGACAAGTGTTTTTGAGAAGGGGATTGATGTGATGAAAGCATGTCAATTAGGAAGATAATTCTAAGGTGTAAATGGAGAGGTCAAAGATAGAAGACTGGAATATTAGTGTTAGGGTCTTTCACAATGGACAGTTGACAGACAATAAGGGTCTAAATCATTGTATTACTAAAGTCAGAAACAACTTCTCTCATGGACAATTTCAGGCCACATAGTTCCTGGGTTGACAGTGACAAGTTCTGAGAGAAAAACAGTTTAAAGTCTCAATTAGGGAAGAATGACAGTTTCTAAAAAACCAGCGAGTGGAACAGATGACAGTCATTCCACTGATTTGAATGTTAGTGATAAAATAATAATCATTTTTAAATGTTATTTTTATGTCAGAGCTATGAGATTTTCTAGAACCCTATCTTCTTTCTATCATCTTTGTTGTCATTTTCAGTGACATAAATAAATGTTACAGTAGTTTTATATCTACCTAATGTCTCTCTTAAAAGAGATTAATAGAAATTGAAAAGAGAGAAAAACAAAAGGAGTTGAAGGCAAAGGAGAGGGAAGCAAGGAGGAGGAAACTAGTAGAAGAGATGGGAGAAGATGGAGAACAAGAATTCCAGGAGGAGGCGGAGGAGGAGGAGGAGGAAGAGGAGCCATTACCTGAGATTTTCTTTCCACCAACCCCTTCTCCCATCCTCTGTGGCTTCTACTCTGAGCCAGAGAAGTTCTGGGTTTCATTGGTGAGTAAATATAAAATTTTTTATCTCAGCTGTATTTCAATCTAGTTTATAGTTATTGTTTACGACCACATGCTTACTTTCTTATTTATATGTTAAGACTTTATTAACTGCTGTTGAAGTTGTCAATTTTGATAAACGAATGTAAGTTACAATTGTTTTTGTATCATTTTAACATTTCTTTTATATATCTACTTGTTATATCTGTTATAATTTATGAAAAACATACATGTTCCAGCCAAATCAAAAAAGGAAAAGGATTAAGGGTAGAAGGGCAAAGAGCTAAGGGATTTTACAACTGACCGTGTGTGTGTGTGCGCGCGTGTGTGTGTTTCTTTGACATGGGCCTCACTAAGTTACCCAGACTGGTCTCTCACTCAAGACCATCCTGCCTCAGCCTTCCAAGTAGCTGGGTTTGCAGACATTAATGCTTTTCTTTAATAGCTCTTTAAGATTTTGTTCTTGTGTTGGACTTCTGTGATTTCGACTATGATATGTCATTTGAGAAGTTCTTTTCTGATTGTGGCTATTTGAGGTTCTATATGTCTTACTTATCTTTATGTTAATTTCTCCATTTTGGAAAGATTTCTGTTGTTATTTCTGTAAACAGGGTTTTTAATGCCATTTGTGCTGTTTTCTGATTTTTCACTAATTTCAGTTATCTTAGTCTTCCTTGCATCATCTAGAAACTGTTAGATCCACTTTCCATGTTCTCTTGTTTTTAAGGTATTTCTGAGTATATGGTCACCTGCATCAGACCTCTCTTCCAGTTCTGACCCTCCATTCTCACACTGGTCACTTCTTCTGCCCATATTATCAACAGAATTTTTTATTTCTTAGTTTTTGTTTCATACCTTTTTATGCACTCCAATTCTTTGCTATCTGTTCATTCATGTTTTGTAACATTTTGTTTAGTTCAGCTACCTTTTTATTAGTGTCTTCTGTAAGCTCAGTGATCATTTCATTGTGTCCATTATGTGTTAAGTTACAGTGGTACCTCAGTTGATGAACACTTGTTTGTGAACAATTTAGTTTGCAAACTAAAGTACTTGGCAAAATTTTGTTTTTATTTTTGAGCTCTGGATCGGGTGACCAACATGACCATGGCCATCTTTCCTGCATGAACACGAATGTGGCCATCTTTTCTAGAATTGTGGAATGAATTAGGTCCGTGAACCAAGGTACTACTGTAAATCATCTTTGAGCTCACTGTGCACCTTATTATCTTTTATTCATCTCCTATTATTTCATCTAATTCAGCTGTTTGGCTTTTGATTTCCTTCATATTGATGCTTCATGAATCAGCTGAGGGAGATTTGGAAGTTTCTGGATATATTTTGTTGCCTTGTCTTCTCATGTTTTTTTGCTTGTTTCTTTTGTGCTGTGGTTTGTAAGTCAATTATAGTGGAAAGACTTTGTTGATAGTATGGAGATCTTTTTAGTATCTTTTCTTTAGTGGTATATTCTAGGCATGGCTAACTATAGGCTTTTGCCTATAAGATCCAATTTCCTCTGTTAATTTGGGAGGGATGGCTATAGTGTAACTGGTCTACCACTCAGTTCTCCAGAAATGAACCATTGTAGTTTTGATGACACAAAGTCAAACAAGATGTTGGCATTCAGTGGGAACTAATTAACAGCAATAACTGTGGTACCCTGGCAATAGCAACAAATTCAGCAACAATAATACAGTAAAGGCAGACTGGATATTGACATACCATAAGAACTAATAGAAGCTGCCTCTATACCATCATTAACCATGAAAATAGATTTACAATTTAGACTCAAAGACAAACCAAATATTGATATATACAGTAGATAAGTGGGTTGGGAATGAGAGAATGAAAGAAGTAAACTTTTAAAAATAAAAGATATGGAGGAGAAGAAAGCGGGATAAAAAATTCTACTAAAGTATAAAAGAAAATTAATAGGATTAGATAAAAGCAACCAGAAAAGAACAATAAGAAAAAAATACAATAAAAGAAGGAAAAAAGAGAAAAGAAAAAGAAAATCCCAACCTCCCACAAAACCAATTAACAAAGCAAAAAGAAAAGAAATAAGTTCAAAAATTTCTTCTGTGTTTTTGACATAGTGGTCTGCAATACTGTAATCCAGCAGATATGGGGGAGGGATACTGAGGCACTGCTAAGACCTATTCTGTTTCTACACTCATGTCTTTTGTATTGGAATGCTGGATCCTGCCCTGCTCTTCTAATGGCCATTGTCAGTCAGTGATTTCCACTGTAGGGCTGTTTTTACTCTAGCAGCACCAGTTTCCATGTCCCCCTGTGTGCACCAGGTTGCAGGTTTCTCTGCCTAGCTTTACAGCCTGTGGGTTTTTGAGGTGCCCTCCCTGCCCCAGAGGCCCCTTGGTCTATATACCCGCAGCTGTGTCATCCATCCAATCTGAGCCATATCCCTTCTCACATTGGTAGATGGGGAAAGCAAACAGACTACTGAGTTCTGTGGTGCTAGTACTGCTGGCCCAGTCTGTTGTTTCTCTCTGTGGCTGCTGACCCAGAGACAGGGGACTGCGGTCTGCTTTCCAGTCTCTCATTCTCTTCTCTGCATTGTGCTGTTTCTCCAGCTTCTCTGTAGTTTCTAGTTTTCCTATTAGCTCCCTCCAGATTTTTGGAAATCTGCTACTTTTTTCTCTCTTTAAAAGAAAAGTAAAGTTGTTTTCCAGGTGTCTTGATTTTCTGTTTTGTGGCAAACATTCAACTCCTCCCTGAGATTTCTTTGGTTCCTAGTAGGTCAGCCCAATGTGGTGCCTGTGCTTTGCCTTGCAGTCTCCCAATCTTTTACTACTTTTTAAAGACTACTGTATGTTTTTTTGATGGTTACCTTTCAGATTTTATATTGGAAGTTACAGTTTTTAATTTCAACATATTTATTCAGTTTGGGAAAATCCTCATACGTAATCTACTGCAGTGTTACTTGGCTCATCTTTCTTCTTCTGGGGTTCTAACTTTATTTATATTAAATCCTTCTCACTATGTCTCTCTCATATATATTTTACCTTTCAAAAATCTTTGTCTCTCCATGATTAAGCCTATTATCTCTGATCTCTGTTTCAGCTTCTTAATTCTCTCTCTCAATTTTGTTTTTCCAGGTTTTAAAAATTGTTTTAAACATATAACAAAAAATTTACCATCTTAACCATTTTTATGTATACAGTTCAGTGCTAATAAGCACTTTCACAATGTTGTGCAGCCATCGCTGTCCTGTAACACTGAAACCCTGTAGCTACCTTCCAGCCCTGACAGCCATCACATTACTTTCTTTATGACTTTGAATGCTGTCTCACATGTGGAATCATGAAGTATTTGTTGTCTTTGTAACCAGCTTATTTCACTTAGCATAATTTCCTCCAGTTTCATCCATGTCACAGCATATGTCAGAATTTCCTTCCTTTTCAAAGCTAAATAGTACTCCATCACATTTTGTTTATCCACTCAGCCACTGATGGACACTTGGATCATTTTTATTTTTTAGTTATTATGAATAATGGACAATAGCATGGGCATTCTAATATCTCTATGGGATTCTGATTTCTGTTTTTTAGGGAATATACTCAGAAGTAGAATTGTTGAACCATATGGTAATTCTATTTTTAATTTATTTTTTGAGGAATTGCCTTAGCATTTTCCACAGAAGCTATAACATTGTATATCACCACTAACCATGCCCAAGGGTTCAGTTTCTCCGTATCCTTATCACACCTGTTATTTTTGTTATTTTTTTTTGTTGTTGTAATTTTTGTTTTTAACTGTAGTCATCCCAAGTGGAGTGAGTATTTTTTGGGTTTTTTTTTTTGGTACTGGGGATCGAACCCAAGTCCTTGTGATTGCAAGACAGGTGGCGGACCCACTGAGCTAAATCCCTGGCCCCTCCCACTGTATTTTTGATGTGCACGTCCTCAATGATCAGTAAATCTGAGCAGGTTTTCATATGTTTATTGGCCATTTGTGTATTTTCTTTGAATGAATATCTATTCATTTCTTTTCTCCAGTTTTGGATTGGTTGTTTGGGATTTTGTTTTATCTCTCTTTAGCTATGTCTACTTGCTGTTAAACCAATTGTTTGAATTTTAATTTCTGTAATTTTTCTGTTCTAGAATTTCTGGGTTTTTCACTATTTACTTTTTTATAGGTTCCAATTAACATCTAAAATTTTCTATGTTGCCTTCAGATGCCTTAAGTATATTAATCATAGTTATTTTTCTTGTCTTTCCTAATATGTCTTGTTATTTTTTACTGAGCACTACATTGTGCATATAAAAAACTGTAGAGCTACCTTGATTCTCAGTATGTTTCAGAGGTGATGATTCTGTTATTGTCTCTTTCTTATTTACTCACTTGTCATAAAGATGCTCTGATTTTTAACTTATTTTCTCTAATAAGGAATCTCTGGTCCATATACATAAAGCAAGTTAGAATTAGAGCAATGTAGTTTTTCCAGATGATCAATTGTCTTTTCACCAAAATGATAGATTATTCCTAAATAACCCTTCCTGGAAAATTAACAGTGTTTAAAGTTACCCCAGGCTGAAAACTAGCTTTGAAAACAAGGACCTGAAAAACCGATTATTAAATACTACTTATTCATAATAATGAAGAAATAAAATGGAATTCAGTAGGTAGTCAGAGGTAAAATCTCTCATTTTGATTTGTAAGGGGAAACAAAGCATCATAAAGTCTTTATTATAATTATATAGTTGTATATAAATGGACAATAGAGATGTTTTTAGAAATAGTAAAAGCTATTATAGAATCATATGTAAGTAAATGTGCAAAACATACATGTTGTGTTTTAAATTTTGAAATAAGCAAAAGCTTCTCATGCAGTCATATGTGTTATATTCTAGTACCACTTTCAGAGTTATTTATCTTTTCCAGGGTAGCTATGATTCTGGTTTTCTATATCACTGTGAATTTCCCCCATACGATAAAAGCAGTGATTTCAAAGTACAGAAAGATGAGCCTTTTGATTTCCGTTTTCTTCGAGATACAGAAGATAATCCCATCCAAACTATCACGTTCAGGTGAACAGAATTTTTTTTATTTTTTATTTTTTTGGTGCCGGGGATCAAACTCGGGTCCTTGTGCTTGTGCAGCAGGAGGCGAAACCACTGAGCTAAATCACCAGCCCAGGTGAACAGAATTTTAAAAAGCTTTAAACAACGGTCTCCTTTTAGTTTCTGTATTTTTGTGTGTCATGAATATTGTCAATTTTAAAAGATATATCCAAATCAAGAGTACCCAAATTGTGTTTAAATAAGTCAAGTGAGTAAATAAATATAATCAAAGCTAGTAATGATTTTTATTTAAATCTGCTTATCAGATATTCTGTTGGAATTTGTGTTTAATTACACAGTTAAATTACATGGTCTTAAGTTATTTCTGTTACTTAGGAGGAGGCTACTGCATGGTCAGATAATGAGGGGCCAGGATTACAAAGATTCTAGAGAAATTACAAGTGGAATCATTAGCCCTTCAATAATTGAGCAAATATGCCAGTCATTCTGAGAATCAAAAAGACTAGTTCTAACTTTCAAATTGACTTTTTCTTTTTGTGTTAATTTACTAGGGTGGGTATACCAATACCACATACTGGGTGGCTCAAGGAACAGATATTTACTGGCTCATAGCCTGGAGACTAGGGTTCCAAGGTCAAAGTGTGGGCAGGTGCACAGGTTTGGTTTCTCTTGAGGTGTCTCTCATTGGCTTGCTGCTGTCTGCCTTCTTACTGTGTCTTCACTTGGTGTTTCCTATGGGCACAATATTCCTAGCCTGTCTATCTCTCTGTCTCTTTGTCATTGTCTCTTTCTCTGTGTCTCCCTTTCTCTCTCTGTCCTAATCTCCACTTCTTATAAATAGACCCCGGTCAGGACCCCATCCTAATGTTCTCATTTTAACTTACACATCTCTTTAAAGGCTTTTTTTCACAGTATGGCTACATTCTGAGGGACCTAGGGTTAGGGACTGAACATATGAATTATTTTTTTTAGACAGAGTCTCACTGTATAGCCCAGGCTGACCTTAAACTCAAAGTGATCCACCTTCCTCAGCTTCCCCGGTGCTGGGCTCACAAGCATGCACCACTATGCCTAGCTTTGAACATATGACTTTTTGGTGGTACGCAATTTAGTTAACACCTTTGTTATTTCAGATTTAGTCGTTTTTCAATTGAGTTAAAATTAAAGTGTTTTCAGACCAATGGAAAGAACAATTTGCTTTCTTTTGTCTTGCAGCTTTGACCAAACTATGATGTTTTGTGGGATGAGAAATGGAGCAATTCGAGTGTATGTGCTAAATCAGAATGATCCTTCACTGACCAGTTTGGAGCACTACTGGCACTTCAGTGTGCACGATAGTAATTATGGCTGTGTTAAAAGCATCTCGACCAGCTTTGACAACCGCTTCTTGGTGACTGCAGGGGCAGATAGTAATATCTTTGTTTTCAATGTTTTTTCTGAATTTATGTTAAAGAAAAGCACCAAAGCCAAAGTGCCATCTCCCAGGGTATGTAACTAATTAGCCAATTAACTAATTAATAACAACAATGATAACAAACTTCAAAGTAGTGACAGAAAGTTGTTCATATTCTTTAAAACTTGACAGCTATTTAAGCACATTAACCTTGAAATTTACTCTTCCTACCATTATTAAATTTTGACTTTCGGGTCCTTCTATATAAAATAATAATGGTGCCAATTTCCTTTTATTATTAAAGTATGTAGCTCCCCAAAATTAAAAAAGAATGCCTCAATTTTTCTGTATCAGTCACTTTCTTAGTCAAAGTTTCTTTTTCAAAATACACAATATTTCTCAGATATATATATGTATATATTTCATTTATTCACTCATGAGGCATGTATGTATAGGATGTATACTATGAAGTGCACTTTTGAAAGTGGTTGAAAAATATTAGTGGCTTTATCCTGGAGTCTGATAACACGGGTCTTGATCAAAGAGTCACTACAAACTGTTCTATTCTTAGGCAAAATACATTATTGGCTTCTTATTGAAGATTGAGGGTTCAGATCCTCTAATTACATCCTTTTGACCTGCCTCAGAACTGGAATTTTCTATTATTAAAGTGGTTTAGGGGTCAGGGATTTAGCTCAGTGGCGCCACCGCCTGCCTTGCAAGAGCAAGGTTCTGAGTTCGATCCCTGGTACCAAAAAAAAAAAAAAAAAGTGGGGGGTTCATATGAATAAAGTCACTATTTAATAACCACTAGACTTGCTCCTACAGATTAAGGAGGTACAGTATATTTAGAAAACCCCACGTTTAAAATTCCTAAGAACACGTTGACTTCCCATTTAATAGACAGCCTACTTCAAAAGAACACACAAAGAATGTAGGGAAGATAGGAGCAGATAAACTTTCATTTCTTTTAATGGCAGTAAATCTTGGAATATGGGGCAATGTTTTTTTTTTGGTACTGGGGATTATGGGCAATGTTTAAAGAGGATCTAGTTCCAAGAGAACAACTGCAGAAGCGAAAGTATATAGAGAAGAAAAATCTTTATTTTTCTACCTAGTGCTAGTCTTCTCTATAGACACTTACACCGAATAGAAAAAAAATCATTCCACAATTAGAATAATAATAATGTCCTTTTATTTGTGGACAGCATCAGAATTTCTTAAAACATTGATGCAAACTCTGCTTTTAAGAGGGCAAAATGAGAAAGAATTAGAACAACAACAAAACCCATAAAACCCAGCTAAGCCATACAGACGTCCGAGGCCTCTACTTTACTTTAGAATCCATGAGCCCTCAAAAGTCCAGATGTCTGAGCTCCACTCAAGAACAATTAAGTTAGGATCTCTGAAAGTGAGGCCCAGGTCTCAGAATCTTATAAAATGCCCTCCAGTTGATTCTAATGTGCAGCCAATATTGAGATCCTTTGACATATATTTTAGAATCGTGGAAGAACCCTTGTCTGTCGCCACTGTATTGTGAACAGCTGTGGCCAAGAGACAGCTGAATTTCCCTAGCAAATCACACTCTGATATTGGAGAATAAAAGGACTTAGCTGTTGCACCCCCCAAAACTAAATAAAATGCAATAAATTTATGCTTTGAGTGATTAATAGTAAGTAATTAGCCATCACTGACTCTTATTTTGGTCATGTGTATGACTTCACTTTTACTAAAATCACAAACCGTGACTTCCATAAAAATGTATAGACTTGCCTCTCATATGTATAAACACTATATGTTTACATTTCATATGTATGAAGACTTTCATCCAACAACTTTATTAAAAGAGTCTTTATTTCTTTAGAAAGAGTGACAGCAAGGCAGAGCCATCTGTTATGAAAGAAAGTAGAGAATAAAAAAGTTCAGTTTTATTTAAAAACTGACTTGTTAGCAAACTGACTATTTTATTCTTTGGGTATAATTCCTCTTCCTTCACACCATAGACTAAGACATTTTACAGCACAGCACCTGAATACACGAAGTACTTTAAGTGGTTTACTTCTTAGTCCCTCTTAATTTAAACCAATTTCCTCTCTAAAAGGAAATTTGTATTTTTTATTTCATTTTTTTTTCTCTGAAGGAAGAAGTTTATATTATTTTGTGCACTTTCCACTTTATGTCTTTTTTTGACTAGGTCATATAAAATTCTTACTTAAAATTACAATGTGTACATGTATTCAAGTCTTCCTAGGATGCACACAAGGTATTTTGGGAGACTGTGCATGTAATAAATGGATGTACTGAAAAAGAGCATTTTGAAATAGATGATCTAGAAATTATTTTTGTGTGTTTTTTCTGTCAATGGCACATGTGCTAATAGATCATATGAATTAGTAGTTGGCATTCTGGTGGAAGAATTATGGTGATACTAACATTTTGCAAATATATGATTAGGTTTCAAGATTTTTTTTAACCTCTCTAAATAAAACAAAACCAAATTTAAGTCAACTGCAATTTTTCCTCTAGTTTGTTGTATGTGAAACTACTTTTCAAACCTATAATTGTTAGAAATTGGCAGGAAAAGCCAGTCGAGTTACTTCTTTCTAGATATCTGAAAGGAAATATGATGTGATTTTAAAGGGCTTTTTATTTCTTCTTCTTACAGTTTGGAATAGAAACAGAGCCAATTCCAGAGGATATTGAAGACCCCAAAGCCTACAGGTAGGGGAATTTTTGACACATACTGTTTAGTCTGAAGTTTTGCAAAACAAACCAACATTTTGTAGAAGCTGACCAAGCTAAATGAGCATCCAAACTATTAAATGTTACTTTTTTATACTGTTTTTGTGGCCTAACCTATTATTCTTTTAAAATTTCCATTTTCAGTATTGAGAATGCCAGGAGAAAAAGAGAACATGACAAATTAATGAAAGAAGTAGAAGAAATAAAAGCTGGGAAGAGAGAAAAAATCAAAGCTTTGAGGAATGAATTTCAAAAGCTATTAGAAATGAATAAAGAATTACCAAAGCATATGCAACTTAAACGGACAGTAAGTCTAAATAAATTTGACTTTCATTTTAATGTATGATATTTCTGGATTGAGACTACTATTTTGCCAACAAGAAGGAATGCTAAAGATCATCATTAAGCTGTCCTTTATCTGGCCAGCTTGTGTAGAACTAGACACACAATTTGGTGGAAGCAGATAAGCCTTTTTACATGTTGCCAAGCTTACTCCTGGATTTAACTATCACACACTTTGATATTGTTGTTTTTGGTAACAAAGTAAAATATAAATGAGGGTTTTAGTCTGTTATCAAACCTTATTGGGCCTAGCCAAAAATGTCTGTTGTGTAGACATCAGTAGACATACGTAATTTTTCTGAGGTTCCATTTCTATAGTATATCAGATTTATTGAGAAGATAGTATCTGATTGATTCATAAAGTTTCTAAGAGATGATTAGACTAGTTGTAGCTGTGAGGACAGCTATAAAATTGTTTAAGCTAATTTTGTATTCCTTTTTCCTTTTGTGACTACTGAAAACCCCTCACATTCTTGCTGGTGATTTTTTTTTTTCCATTTTGTGTTTCTTCCTAAACAGAAATACTATTAGAAATCAAATCAAATAAAAAGGTAGAATGTGTCATCCTAAATACATCCACGTGTTACCCAATCCTGTAATTACAGAAGTACTTTCCAATTTCATATAAAAAATGCTATGTGAAATCATATTGGCTAACTTCTTATATAAGTTTTAAAAAGCCAACTCAAATGGTTAAAAGACCTTTGCTTAAAAAAAGATTGAAGCCAGGCATGGTAATACATGCCTACAATGTCAGCACTCTGGGAGGCTGAGGCAGGAGGATTGCAAGTTTTAGCCCAACCTGAGCAAGTTAGTGATTTAGTGAGATCCTGTCTCAAAATAAAAAGTTAAAAGTTGTGGGGATGTAACTCAATGGAAAGGTCAATCCCCAGCAGCACATACACACACACAAAAAGTTGATACTTTGAACTCCAGAGTACAGGTGACATAATTTAGGATAAAGAACAACTGGAGCAAGTGCTGTGGCTAAGCATTCTGCATCCATTATTATTGAAAACACAAACATACTGTAGTTGAGTGTGACTACAGGCTCTGATATCTTCCTAGGAGTGCAGGTAAGAAACATGAGGTCTGTACATATTCTTATGGGGGTTAGTGGACTCCTCAGTGAAGGACATTCAACAAAAACTTGGTGATGTCAAGAAGACACGAAAGACTGCTGTCATCTTTCCTACAGGGGGTCACCCAGAAAGGGTTTAGCCAGTGCCACCTGGTTATGTACTAGTAGTTTCTATGGGATGGTGAGAGTATTTTTAAAAGCCTTATATACTCACCAAATAATGTTAGCATTTATTATTTTTATTGTGGGGAAAAATCCTTAAGTATATACCTTTATTTATATTATTGTTAATAATTTCTCCATATATTATAAACTTTTTTCCCTCTTCTTGTGGAAGCAAGATCAAAAGTATATTATTTCTCTTCTGGAATGGAGATTTTATGGTATGTGGGAGACTGTTATGGTATAGCATGAAATTGAGGACAAAATTAAAAATCTGTAGCTGTATGAAAGAGGGTTGATACATATATTGATAAAGAACACCTTTTGATAAAAAGATCTACTTATCTGCAGGATTTTAATCTCGATTCTGAAATTCATGCTGAGATTGACAGAAAAACAGTTCACAAAATTCAAGAAATGGAAAAGGAGTTAGCTTGGGAAAAAGAGAAACATGAACTTGGCTTAAAGAAGCTACAGAGAAGGTAGGATCCATAATTCCTGCATATTAAGATATTTGAGAGTATATATCTAAGTAAATAGTTTTTAGTAGTGTCAACAAAGTGGTCAGATAAAGGTATTCTGACGTAACCACTGACTTGAAGTTTCAAGAAATCCTCTTGAATGCCACTGATATCTTCCTGAGCTTTCTCTTCATTTTTTTTTTTTAGTTATACAATTAGGTTTTAAAAATTGTATAATAGATATTTATTTTCTGTTTTGACAACTATTTTATACCAAATTAATACATGAGTATATATACCTTTTAAAAATAAAAAAATCAAATGGACTCAAAAGACTTACAATAAAAGACAGCAACCTCCTGTCTAATCCTTTTTATGCACTAATTTTAACTTCCCATTGGAAATTTTTTGTCTTTTATTCCTATATAGTTTACATATGTAAAGTGCATAAATCTTCATAGAATGGCTTGATAATTTTA